TAAATCAGCAAAAACGACAATTTCAAACCCGAAACCAGTCAAACTCAAGGAAAATATATTTAAACTACCACAAGAAATCAAAACAAACAATTAAAAGCAACAATTGGGTTGCCTCCCAATGAGCGCCTTTCTTTAATGTCTTTGGCTAGACGTTGCCATGTTTTGTTCATGGAGGATAAAATCGTGTGGCTCGTCTTAATGCTTCATCCTCTATATAGTCCTGATTACCCTCGTAAATAGAATAATTCTTGAGCATACGAGCTACGGGCTTCCATGGACTAGTGAATGGCGCCAAACGAGTCGATGATAATTTGCATTCTCCATTCACTTCTCCCTCATTTGCATTTATTGGTTCAAGATATCTCGCCATCGCCACTCTTAATTTATTCCTGTCATGAAATTCAAAATTGTCTGGTATAATAAAGTCAATTTCATTAACAGGAATTGAAGAATAAGAGTCAGGAGAATATTGATGAAGGAATGGAGAAGATGTCACCGTATTTGGAGATTGTTTACTGGATTCATTCACTTGAATGAGTTGATCCTGGAGTCTCATTTTTTGCACTTCAACTTCCTTTTCAACTGCATCTTTAAATCCGTTTCCTTGAAACTCTTGCAGTTCCATGTTATTTGGCCGGATAATTGCACTCTCATCTCCTTCAGGATTGATTTTGGTTTGTGAGGGCAATTCTTCAAGGTGAGAAGCTAATCGCTCTATCCTGGATGTCAATTGACGCATTTGATCCGCCAGGTCGCTCATTGCATCCTTCATCATCTCATTCCTCATTTGTGTCTCCTGTTGGAATTGGTATGTGTTAGTAGCTATTGGTTCAACTATTTCTTCAAAAGACATACCTGACATAGATGACGATTCTTGAAACTCATACTGCTGAAAATTCATTGGCCCCGTTGTATAATTATACCCGGAGTTATCCCACCATCCTTGATCATACCCGTTTGGATTATGGTCATACCACGTTTGAGACCAGGGTGAAAAATTTCCGTAATTATAGAACGGGACACTCAGATTATCTTGATATTCGGGGCACATACCTGTTGAATGATCCCTGGCATAACAAATTTTACAGGTTGCAGCAGCCATTCTTTTTCTAATAGAGTTTACTGCCTCTGCATATGCAGACTTAGCGAAAAAACTAGTCACATCGACTTTCCCGGAAACAAAATCCAGTATCTCACCAAAATACGAAGTGTTAGAAGCCATAAGAAAATAAGAGAAAAATAAATTAAAAAATGAAAACAAGGTGAACTCAAAAAGAAACAAATTAATCTAACACCAGTCCCCGGCAACGGCGCCAAAAATTGAGAGGTCGTCAGCCTGTGCAATAATAAAGTTAAACCTAATTGCCAGTTAAAATGACCAAAACCCAATTCCAAGTACTGGAGCAGGGACTTTAGGTGTGCAATGGGTTACTTGATTCACCCTGTTCCCGAAGAGTTTGCTTGATCCGATATACCCGAATGGGATGGTTATTCCTTTTCACAAATAATTATGAATTTGTAGACAGGGCAAGTAGGGTCGTATCCACAGAGATTGGGTATATTTGTTTCTTGAGAAATCCAAAGTAACGCAGGGGGTGATTTTGTAGGAACGATGCCAATCCAATGAATTCAAATAAGAAAATAAAAATAAACAACTAACTAGAGATTAAACCACAATTTACTGAACTTAGGATAACAATAATTAAAGGCCTAAATCAATTAAAACAAGGAAGCAATCAAACATAAAATAAGTAGGCAATTAAAAGCCAAATGGCAATTCACTACAATCAAGGAAATATTAACTAAAGATCTAGCCAAGGAATAACTTCAGCAATGGTTCACCTAATTGATCATCGATGCAAAGGCAATCCCAATTATTTATTAATAAATAGGTTATAACCACCAAACAAGCGATGGCAGTCAACCCCTCCTTACTGCGTCGGTGATCAAGGTACGCCCGTTAATCACTGCTCTAATTGAGGAATAATTCTAGGTACGCCCGTAGAATTTAATTCCCCAATTGCCTTACGTATTAGAAGGGCCATATTCTAACCAAATAACGCACTATCAGAGTTATTTTAGATTAGTCCGCGTATCCCCCTGACACGAATCTAACCGTGCCAGTTGTCACTATTTTGAGGTAATTAAACAATTACGGATTTAATACCCCCAATTGACAATAGATTACCCAATCAATTAATTAGCCGGATCCGAGACAACCAGTCAATTAAGCAATCATAAGCATAACAATCAGGGAATATGCGAATACCAATAAATAAAAGAAAAAGATTAGATTAAATCGATCTCACAAGTTTAGGCGAATCAGGGCCTCCGTTGTCCCTTGGCTAGAAGGGAGGAATTAGTTCATGTTCGTTGAATTAAGTCCACCGGAAATTGGAAGAAGAACCGCGGCCATTGCCCCCAAAAATTGGGAAATGCAATTCGCTCCGATCAAGAAAAGATAACAGAGTTACCGGAGGTAGCCCTCTGTTTCACAGCGGATGACATACGACAAAGCAAAAGCCAAAATGCGATTAACTCAGATGAAGGGAAGTTATAAGTTTTTCCTAGTTTCTGCTCCTTGCATCTGCGGAGTCAAGAGCTACCAAAAGCTACCAATACAAAAGTCAAGACTAAAGTGAAGCTCCTCCCATACGTAAGAAAAGAGCTTTTTAAAAGGCCCAAAAGAAGTCAACAAAAATGGCTAAGCTAGAAGACGAAAAACTAGGAACTCAGAAGCAAAGCTAGCCGCGTTCTTTTCTTCCTTCCTTCGTTTTTATCCCATGCTTCTCGCCTCCTCTTGCCGCAGCCCTCCAGCCAGGAAAGGAACAAAGCCCTCCTTCGGTGCAGCCCATGGCCAAAAGAAAAGGCCCAAAAGATTTTTTTTTCCTTTTCCAAAATTGTCCTGGGACAAGCGCTGCTAATTGCTCTCCTTTTTCTATCAAAATGGTATTTGTTATCATGTTTATATTCTACTCCCTGAAACACACGTCAAATACTAAAGGTGAGTAGAATCCAGCAATTAATCCACATCAAGGCAGGTAATAGGAGGAATTAATAATAAAATAAATGATAAAATTGCAACCTATCATTTAGAATGGTCAAAGAACAATCACTTTAGTTTCTTGCATAATGACCAAAACTTAGTTTTTGAAGGTGACAAATGGCTTTGTCCTCGAAAAGTTTCAATCATGCGTATTATATATTAGTTCTATTAGTTCTTGCTTTTCGTTAGAAATTATGTACTTTGCAACATTGTTCAACTTAGCAATTTACCTGGAGGCCTTTTGGTTGTGTTCCGTTCAACTTCAAAATGTTAAAACTCATCACTTAGGATCATCTTTGAACTCTAGCAATTTCTTGTTTGGATTGTATTTTTTTGGATTTTTTTTGTAAAAAAATTACTGTAGCAATTTGATATATGTAAGATAAAAAAGTGATTGCAAAATATATTTATAGTAAACATAGAGGAAAATTGTTGTCCAAACATATTTTGACTGGTTCTTAGACCCTACTAAAATTCCCATGACGGTAAAGAGAAGTGAAGGAAATTTAACCAAGCTTTAGGGTCCGTTTGTTTCGGGTGAAAATGTTTTCCAGGAAAATATTTTCCTAATTTCCCGTGTTTGGTTGCACAAAAGTTACTGAAAACATTTTCCTATGTAAAATATTTTCACTCATCTTATGGAAAACAACTTCTCTTCCCAACTTGCTGAAGTTGTTTTTCGAAATACATGCATCTTGCCTATAGTATGTTCCAAACTTACTGAAATCATCTTGTAGTATGTTCTTTTTTTTTTTTTTAGTGTAAACAGAAAGACTCGAACCCAAGACCTCTTCCTTACACTCCCTCTCCGTACCCCCAACCCAACCCAACCCTCCCCCTAGTATACTCAAAAAAAAAAAAAAAAACCTCATCCTGCTCATCCTATGCTAGTAATTAATTATGTATAATAGGGACATTCTTTTCTAGAGAAACTTTCAGCAGTAAGAGTGCAAGATATATGTCATAATAAGCATTGCATGTGATTGATATTTGACACTAAATGGCCAGCAATTTGTTTATTGCTTAAGGAGATATTTTTTATTCATATATACATTTCTCCAAGATTTTTTAAAGTTAAACAATGAGATAAATTTTCTTATTTTGCATGGGAAGAAGTATGTAGTTATAATGTGTAGAAAGTAAAGATAGAGATAAAAGTGAAAATAATTCAAAAGTTAAACAAACACCAGAAAAATGAAGTAAGAAAATATTTTCAATAAGCTAACCAAACACCTGAAAATGATGAAAGGGAAATGATTTTCATGGAAAATTACTTCCACGGAAAATATTTTTCCAAGAAAAACATTTTACTTCCAACCAAACAGAGCCTTAGTTATTTAATATATCAAGCTATTTGTCAGCAATAGTAAGTTCTAGGAATAGGGCATTATTTGAGGCTTTCTTAGAGTTTGGTAGTTTCTATGTTTGCATGTCAGGTTTATGGCTCAAGTTTAGGAAAATTTTCAAGATTCCTGGTCTTAATCAAAGTCGGTTGTCCGCCTGTTAGTCTCCTTAAGTTTTTGGTCAATGAATAGTTTAGTGGCCAATGTTGAGACCTCAAAACATAGAGATTCTGGGTTATAATCTCCCTGCTCTCTTCCCACTTCTTAAATTTCATCCTTCTCCTGCTAAAGTCAAAAAGTCCGAATCCAATTGATTAGTTAGTTTCCTATGTGTAATTGGTTTCCCAGTCCAAGTCCGTAGCATTGTTTCTTTCCGTCCTTCAATAGAATATTTTAATAAATTTGAAATGAACAGACTTAGAACCTACAATATAAAAGCCTTTGTTTAATTAAGAATTTTTAGTTGATAACAAGATTTGGAATTAACACAAAAGTTAAGGGATTAAATAACGAATTTCCCATTTTTGCTTTCTCCTTCACACTCGCTTCCCTCTTTTATTGGGCTACGGTACTCCAAAGTCGATTCTCTTTGCATATAGCAAGCATCAGCCATGGAGAAATTTCACAACCTTTTCCCACTTGGACTACTTGTGTTGCTATGCTTTCTTTCAGCTTCCTTCGCCACGTTCCCGACTAATATTACCGCTGATCAGTCATCTCTTCTTGTCTTGAGAGCTCACATTTCTGTTGACCCTCCACAAATCTTGGCCAAAAACTGGTCTGTTGGCTCTTCGGTCTGCGATTGGATTGGAGTGACCTGTGGCTCTCGTCATCGTAGAGTGACCGGCTTAAATATTTCAAACATGGGTCTTTCCGGCACCTTACCTCCACAACTGGGAAATCTATCATTTCTTGTTTCTCTTGACATGAGTGCGAACAATTTCCATGGAGAGATGCCGCATGAGTTTGCTGGATTGCACAGATTAAAACTATTTAATTTGAGCTTCAACAATCTCGAAGGAGAGTTCCCCCACTGGATTGGTTCATTTCCTCAACTTCGTCGCTTGTCTCTTAGAAATAATAGTTTCACTGGTCTTATCCCATCTTCCATCTCTAACTTGTCAAAGCTAGAGAGCATAAGTCTTTCTAACAACCATCTACAAGGAAACATTCCTATAGGGATTTTCAATATTTCCTCGCTGCAAGGGATTGGCCTTACAAATAATAGCCTATCTGGAGTTCTTCCAAGTGACATGTGTTACCATCTTCCTGGACTGATTAGACTTTCCCTATCATTTAACAAGTTAAATGGTCAATTACCATCAAGTAATTTAGCTCAATGTTCAGAACTTCGGTTGCTGTCTTTGTCTCTCAACGAATTTGGAGGTTCCATACCAAAAGAAATTGGAGCACTGAAGAAGCTTGAGGAGCTATACTTGGCTTACAACTATTTAGAAGGTAAGACCCTTGCTAATTAATTCTTTCACCATATATGGACAAAGCCAAATAGCACACGTCTTGCACAATTTTTACTCTATCTTTCCAGATTCCAACTCAAACGGCAAAAGATAAAAGAAAAATTTAGAGCTAAAGATTGTTTTCTGCCGAATGAATTCTCCAAATGCTGCCTCAAGGAAAGAATGGTTACCAAAGATTTTCAGAATTTTTGGTTCCTTTACAGCTAGTAAGGCAAGGGATACATGCAGTAGATAAGAATATGGTCCTGATGTACAAGTTAATGGCGAAAACATATTCATATTTCTTAGGGCTCTACATAATAGCAAAAAAAAATTTTTTTTGAAAATAAAGTTAATTTTGACATGCATTTAATTTAGAATGTCTTTTTGATTCCAAAATGAGCCAATTTCAAAATGTTGAGGGGTGCCAGGATGTGGCCAATTTCCCGCTTTTGGCCCATTAACTTTCTCATTTATTTTTCTTCAAAATGTCCATCAAATATCTCATCTTGTTTATATTTATTCCATTTCATTTTTGCAGGCCAAATTCCAAAAGAGATTGGTAATTCAACCATGATTAAAATACAAAGTTTTGGACACAACAACTTAACAGGTACAACAATTTTCTCAATGGCAGAAATTAGAGACTTATATGGTTTAATATATATGCTCAATATTATTCTGGCAGGTGTAATACCACGAGAGATTGGTAAGTGGCACTTTCTCCAACAACTCGAAATGGAATTCAATAGCTTAACTGGTTCCATACCAATAGAGATCTTCAACCTCTCAAAGTTGAGTGTTATGTCACTTTTACAAAATCAACTATCAGGCAATCTTCCATCAACATTCGGTTATGGGCTTCCCAATTTAGAATACCTTTATCTCGGCAGTAATCACTTTTCTGGAGCATTACCTAGTTCAATCTCAAATTCTTCTAATCTCCGTCTCATAGAATTTGGTGATAACAAGTTCACAGGTCCAATTCCTACTTCCCTGGGGGACCTAAGTCACCTAGAAGTGCTGATTCTATATGGCAACAAATTAACGGGTGACTCCACATCTCCAGAGTTGAGCTTCTTCACTTCATTGACAAAATGCCAAAATTTGTCAGTATCGGAGTTGAGTGACAATCCATTGAATGGGATAATTCCAAACTCGATTAGTAATCTTTCAACTTCCCTTAAAAGATTAAATGCAGCAGGTTGCAAAATCAAGGGCAGCATTCCAGATGGAATTGGAAACTTGACAAGTTTGATCCTATTAGATCTATCCAACAATGAGCTAAGTGGGTCGTTGCCAGCTAGGACAACTGATTTGCAAAAGCTTCAATACATGGATCTCAGTATGAACAAACTAATTAGCAGAGTGCCCCTGCATTTGCTCTGTGCTCTCCACAACTTGGATACAATGAACCTTGGACAAAATCAATTTATGGCCTCAATTCCAAAGTGCTTCGGAAATCTTACTTCCCTGAGGCATCTTGACCTAAGTTACAACAGACTATATTCTGCTCCACCTGAGGAAATATGGAACCTAAAAGATCTCTTGGAGCTTGACCTCTCCTCAAATCTGCTGAGTGGATCTTTGCCGTATGCTATTACGAATATGAAGATGGCAAATTGGGTAGATTTGTCAACCAATCAGTTCTCAGGTGGCATTCCTGACTCAATTGGAGATATGCAGAACCTGCAAAATCTTTCTCTAGCACACAACAGATTGCAAGGATCAATCCCAGAATCGATTGGTATGGTGTTCAACTTGGAGTCATTGGATCTATCACATAACTTTCTCTCTGGCTCAATTCCAATGTCAATGGAGCACCTTCGGTATCTTAAATATGTCAATCTCTCTTTTAACAATTTAAGTGGTGAAATTCCATCCCTAAACTGCTGCACTGCCGAGTCCTTCGCTTCAAATCAAGCCCTCTGTGGAGCTCAAAGGTTTCTTGTGCCTCCATGCCCAACTATTTCAGCACACAGATCAAGAACAAAAAGATTGCGTCGAACGATTTATATTCTACTGGGGGTGATAATAGCAGTGGGAGCCTTGTCTTTTGGATTTGTTTACCTGAGATATCGAAAGAAAGATGAATTTTCCAGCGGAGCAGATTTATCCTTAGTTGCAATGCCAGAAAGAATTTCATTTTTTGAACTTCTACAAGCAACTAACGGGTACAATGAAAGCAATTTGTTGGGGGTTGGAAGCTTTGGATCTGTTTATAGAGGTACTCTTGATGATGGAAGGGTTGTGGCTGTTAAAGTGTTCAATTTAGAAGTCGATGGAGCGTTCAAGAGTTTTGATGTAGAATGTGAAGTGTTGCGCAATCTTCGCCATCGAAACCTAACAAAAGTCATCAGTAGCTGCTCTACCTCTGAGTTTAAGGCATTAGTGCTTGAGTTGATGCCAAAAGGAAGTCTCGAGAAGTGGATGTATTCACACAACTATTTTTTGGATCTGATGCAGAGATTGGACATATTGATTGATGTGGCAGGTGCATTGCATTATCTCCACTGTGAGTATTCAATTCCAGTAATTCACTGTGATCTAAAGCCAAGTAATGTGCTGCTGGATCAGAACATGGTTGCCCATCTAAGTGATTTTGGCCTTACAAAATTGTTGGGCGAGGAGAACAGCATCACATTCACCGAAACACTAGCCACAATTGGCTATCTCGCACCAGGTGAATAATTTTCTCGTACAACTAAAGTACTATTTCCTCAGTTGTTTGATGTTGCAAATTCCAAACTAAAAAAATACAATCAATTTAAGAACATGTGATGAATTTATATGGGTCTTGCAGAGTATGGGTTGGAAGGATTTGTATCAGCAAAATGCGACATCTACAGTTTTGGAATTATGATGATGGAAGTCTTCACGAGAACAAATCCCAACAGTGAAATGTTTGGTGAAAAATTGAGCCTGAAGAGCTGGGTTGCTAATTCAATGCCTGATGGATTAGCTAATGTCATCGATGCTAATTTGCTAAAGGAAAGTGATGAATGCATTGGTGAAAAGCTAAGCTGCATAGCCTCAATCATGAAAGTGGCTCTAGGCTGCACGATAGAGTCCCCGAGAGAGAGAAGCAGCATACAAGATGTTCTTGTTGCGCTGAAAAAGATCAAGCTTCAGCACATGAGTTCCCAGAGTTCCAGGACGTCCTAGAGCTGCATACATGTTCTCTAAGCAAGATTGGTTGATTGTCTCGTTAGGTAATAAATTTGTAGTGGTGTTGTACTAGCAGGGCGGGGAAAAATCTCAACAAGACTATTTTCCTCTTGACTTCTTTACATGTTCTTTACGTGTACTTTTGCATTCATGCTGATGAGGACCATTCCTTTTTCCAAATTTTGAAACATTTAAATGCCCAATTTTGGGTCAAAAATATAACTCGTTTTCATAGCGGTTTAAATATAACTACTAACGTTTTCAGCTGTTGGTTCAAAAGGATAAACTATGAATAGTTGACTTTGATATCACTTGCCTACATTTCCCACCACCTTTTAATATCACTTATTGTGATAGCGGTTTACATTATTACAGTACTTAAAACATCAGGGGCGCTACGCGAAATTGTCGGAAACCAGCATTAGGCACTATAACAGAAGTTGAAAATGTGCCAGATACAATATCATAGATTAAATTACCACTTAATTAAGACAATCTTGGATGACTTTATGATGTTTCCTAAGCCACAAAAAGGCCCTCCACAATCACCGATATGGTGACACACCAAGCAGTGAGTCCAGGCCAGACAACTGATATTGAAGAAAACTGTAAACTGACTCAGTGGTCATTACAGCAATTCGAACCACAACACCTCTGCCCTGCGGCATGTCTTCAAATGAAGAATGTAACACGTATATTTAGTTAAACAAAATTTGACTTATGAAACAATTTGTACAAATGCTAAAATTTCCCTGACTTGACAATGCAGAGATGGAATTTTCACTACATCAATGTCAGAATAGAGGCCGCAGAAATTTCAGAAGCTATGCCAAACATTCTTACAGAAAATGTTACTTCAGTTTAAGAAAAGAAGCATTTTTTACAATAAGGAGTTCAAGAGAAGGCATGACCGCAAGGTGGAAAGCTTGTCAATCTTCAAGTCTAACCCTCTGTGCATGTAATGGAGACAGGCAAAATTTTGACGAGGAAGATTTAGGCTATACATTAATCAAGCTTCCACAAGGCATACGATGATCCATGAAAGATTAACATATAAAAGGAAAAAAAAATACCACAATGCCTAATAGCAAAATCATGCAATATACTTGCTCATGTCGTGTAACCCACTGGTTAGCGTAAGATTCTCAAAGAGCTATCCAGAGACATTAAAAATTCCATGAGGATCTTCAAGCATATATGACACGACTAGTAGAAGACCCTGACTGCAATTGTAGATGTAAAGCCTTGCAGATTAGTCAGTGGTATTAAACAAGCACTAAAATAAAATTTCCTTGGAACAGAACCTATTGAATATTGACTGTAAAAAGAGCGTACCATTGCAAGAAAACTAACACCCATGAGAAAAAAATCTAACTTTTGACCAAGGACGCTGCAGGAGGCCAAAAAGCTGGGTCTGGCCAAGAAAGGATTGTCATTGATATCTCCATATCGTCAAGAGCTACCTGAAGGAATACGAAATTGCCGAGACATCAAGTTTTTCACATTTTCCTGAATTTGGTCTTGAATGAACTTCAGCTTTGGCCTTTAATTAAAAAGATTTGTAGTCTCTCAGTTAACCAAAATTAAGTAGTGGAAAGGAAATAATCATATAAAGAATAAAAGTACTGGTTAAATTAATTCATCGAGTCAACGCATACCCCAAAAGTATAACCATCGCAATTACTTGATAATCTTGCATTTGTTCAGCAATACTGCTATACCTTCCCTGCTCTAGCAATATCTGTGATCAAAGTAAAACAATCTGAGCCAGTTAAATGAGAAGGATAACCATCATCTAGATACAACAGACTCAATCTTGTAGAAGGAAAAACTTCAGAGAAGAGAACTGAATTAAAGGGAACCATTCTTGGATCAACATTCTCTAATTAGTTCAGATGTAAAGAATCAAAATGAGTTTGTTTTAGAGTCGGATGTATAGAAAATACCAAAAGCAAGAGTCTCCCAATGCAAGGAAGTCGAGAAACCCAAATGCAGAGAGCATTCCGAGACTTCACCAACAACTAATGATTATTCATGTGTGAAAAAGGAAAACAAAAGATTCCTGATAGAGGAAAAAAAATTAGCTAAATGATCTCCATGTTGAAGACAATAGAAGATTGGGTAACGTAACACATGTGCATGCCAAAGTGCTAGATGATCTTTAAGCAAGCCAAAGTTCAAAAAGTGCCCCAAAGTTCCAAGTAAATCAGTTTGAAGATCTGAAGCTTGCATCTCCATGAGATGTTTGCATTTGATTATTTCAACTAATACCAACATTAATTGCCATCGAGAAACACATTCTCCAGGTTCAGTCCATCAGAATAAAGCAATTTCATCCAAAAGATCTTTTTTTTTTTTTTGGGAATTCATCTCAAAGATGTTTCCTATCATTAAGGCATCTAATCGACATTTGCCCAAAGTCGTTTAACAAAATAACTTACCATGTTCCTGTAAACTGCAGTTGCCATGATTACAATATTCTATTATCCAACATGACATATATTCCCAGGATTAAGACCTGTATATGCATAAATTGACTACAAGGACATTAAATGCCCACAGGTTGAAAGCTCGAAAGCAATTAAAACAAAAAAAAATACAACATTCTACAAAAATCTAAAGATATTAAAGATTGACATGAATCTATTGCAAGCAATAGTTCAACAAATAAAAATTTCTTATAAGATTAAAATACTTCAGTTTCACCACTCTCTTCATGATAGGGTATTAATTGTTAGTAATTTTATCGTTAATTCTCCTCTTTATTCTTGCCAAATATTGTTTTAATTGTCAATATATATTTATATTTGGTATTTGGATATAATTTCAGAAAATGGAGCAGAAAAGTGCTAAAAAGGGGACATTCTTGAGAAGATTTCTCCACACGTGAAAGCTTCTAAAAGCTTTCCGCAATCAGCCCAAATTGTGCAAACCAACGGAATTGCTGATGAAGAATTGAATTGATATGATGAAATCCACTAGCAATAAGAAATCAAAGCGGGGACCACGTAGAAAGTTGAGGAATTGCTTTAGACATTTGGTTCCTCTTTTGGGAGATGTAATTGATTAGCTATGGCTGGCATTTGATCAGGAGATTACTTTTCCAATTGCTCCCTACGTAGCTAGTCCCTTAAGAGACTAGTGCTCCAATAAAATAAGAAGGCACTAGATTAGTGGGTTCAAGGAGAAAAGACTATGAAAAAACTATGAAGACTAAAGGCTTGCCTTATATATATCGGACGATGGCAGAAGACAGGAGACTAGTAAGTCTTAGTTTTCTTTCCAGAGAAGCTCCGTAGCAGCTTAGAGGTAGTTTTTGGTTTTCAGAGAAGGAGTTCTTCCTTCTCTTGTTGTGTGGTGTGCAACTTTTCTTAAAAGAGTCTACCGAGACTCAAGTTTCTTCCTAAATTCTTAGTTACTTATTTATGTCTATGAATTCAATTGAATTGCGTGGGAATTTTCTTATGAGGCGTGGCTAATTTTCTCCTCTAGTCAAGGATCAACGTGACGACGCAGTCCCATATATCTGTGAGATCTAATTAATTTTACGTGTTCCTTAATTTGTTAATATTTGCATGTTTTCTGTTTTAATTTCCATGGGATTATTTTGTTAATTGGATATCAAGGGCCCGATGTGCAATTTGACTTTTTAATCTCTTGTCAAATTAATCAATTACATCCGTAATTGTTTAGTTGGTTAATATTAGTGGCAACTAGTATTTTCACATACTAGGAGAACATGCAATCTGATTTAAATAACCCTCGTAGCGTGTTATTAATTTGGGCTAGACTTTTCTAGTTTTTAATACAATTAGGAAATTAATTCCTACGGTCGTACCTAGGAGTATTTCCTGATTAGAGGTAATCAACGGTCGTACCTTGGTTATCAATAAATTAAGGAAAAACTGGTCGTTAGAGTTTATCGGCGGCTATAACTAGCCTATTAATTAAATTAAGTGAACCCCTGTGCATCAATGATCGGATGAATGGACTGTGTCTGCGTAGTTGTATCTTTGGTTAGAATTTATTTAATTGCTATTTACAATTGTATTAATTAATTATTATTTTTTGGTTAAATTATTTAATTATTTTTAGTTAAATTGTTTAATTATTTATTTTATATTTCATTTTGATAAAAATCCCCCATGTCTCGAATTTAAAAAGAATCGAATTTTTTCCCAATCCCTGTGGATTCGACCCTGCTTACTACTATACACAGAAAATTTATTTTTCTTAAGCAGGTATTTATTATTGCACAGGCACGACTCCTGTCAATTTTTGGCGCCGCTGCCGGGGACTGGCGTTAATTATTTGTTTTTTTTAAGTTCATTTTTGTTCAAATTTTCTGGTATTTTTCTAGTTTATGCCTCGTTCTTCTCGTACAGGCGAATTAATTTTCGACCCTGAAGTAGAGAAGACCGCGCGTAGAACGAGGAAAGAAACCAGGCGGCTCAGAGAAGAGCAATACGGTATTGCACCTCAGGGACTTGATCCAGAGGTTGAGCCGATAAATTTGTCTGGTGACAATTCGAGTGATTCAGACCAAGAGGAAGTCACTATGGCAAATGCACGAACACTAAGGGAGTTGGCTGCTCCTGATTTAAATCAGCAGCCCTTGTGCATTACTTTTCCAAATTTAAATGATGACACTCCCTTTGAACTAAAATCTGGTCTAATTCATCTTTTGCCATCTTTCCATGGTCTACCAGGTGAGGAGCCCTACAAGAACTTGCAAGAGTTCGACGTCGTTTGCAACAGTATGAAACCTCCGGGAATTACAGAAGAGCAAATAAAGATGAGGGCTTTCCCCTTCTCTTTGAAGGACTCCGCAAAAGACTGGCTTTACTATCTACCGCCTGGTAGTATCACCACGTGGGATCAATTGAAGAAAAAATTTCTGGACAAGTACTTTCCGGTGTCTCGAGCTGCGAGCCTAAGGAAAGAGATATGTGGTATCAAACAACACCCTAGCGAGTCTCTCTATGAGTACTGGGAGAGATTTAAGAAACTGTGCACCAAATG